TAATATACAGGGTCCGGCAAAATGATCTCCCACATTTTGCACCGCCACTGTCCCCGAACCACTGAAGAGAGGGGGAGCTTAGCGTAGTCGGTTGGTAGCTCGCGCCTTGCCATTTCAGTTGTCGTCATGAATTGGACGGGCGAGCATCGTGCTTTCATTATCAAAACATTTATGAAAAGTAATCTGTGATTACGACGCAAAGAACTTTTCGTACTCACTTCGCGCTTGGTAGACATGCTCCAGTTTCAGATCGCAAAACAATACTGTTGTGGGTTTCAAATTTTAGAGCTACAGGTTCAGCTTTAAAAAGAAAATCAACTGGTAGACCCAGAAGTGTTCGGACCTGAAAATGTTGCAGCTGTAAGAGAAGCAGTTGAACGATCTCCTAGCCGTGTATCGAAAAAAATGGTCGCCACTTGGACTCTGTAATTTTCAAAACTCAATAAAAACAAATGGCATAGCATAAATTTTCAGTTAATAAAAATAAAATCTAAATAGCATTTACAAAGGCGTTTTTATTAAAGATTAAAATGTGGGAGATCATTTTGCCGGACCCTGTATAAAATATGTCCATTTACATATAAATATATAAAATTATATACAGAGTGGTATGAATATACGGCCCCACTCGTCTCGAGCAGATAGAGTGGACTAAACTGAATAGAAAAGTCCTCTACCATTTTGTAATGCTCGCAATAACCGAGATATTAACGTTTAAAGATAGCCGAATACGCGCGTCCGCTCGACTTACTATTGTCGAAGGTACGGCCCACCGAGCGTACGGCGCGCGGGTCGCGAGGAATGGCCTAGGCGATTAGGCGCGCCGTTTGAGCTTAGATGCTAATCCACTCTGCTCGGGACGAGTGGGGCCGTTTATTCATGCCACCCTGTATAATTTTTGTATAATTTTATATAATTATATCTACATAAAACGTTTTTTCTCAGATGCACGCACGCACGCACGCACAAATACATACATATTGGATGCTTTCCAACTACTTAACACATCTTAACACAAACGTACACACAAGCTGTATCATTGTGCGCGATTCAATTGGAACAGAATGTGTACGCTGTGCATGATTGAGATCCGTTTCGGATAGAGTTAGATTAAATGTAGCTTTTTCTGCCTACATTAAATAAAAAAAAGTAAAAGTGCTGACCACCAACGTCTTCCAACCTCATTTATAGCCAGTAATCAGTAACATGTAATTGTCATTAGAAAACACAAGCTTACATAGCCTTCGACTGAGTACAGGTGACTAGCATTGTGTCGACGATAACGGACAATTGAAACTTGTATCACCGTGTCTAGGGATATTGCAATTGGAAAACACCATGTTTGTTTTCTATAGGTAGTATGTGGTGATTTAGAAGAAATATCTCAAGCTTTCAAATATTATTTGTAATGTATCGAGTCTTCTTGCCAGCATGCATCGGATTTTTATTAAATTTCCAGTTACATATGAAGAAAAAATAAATAATTGGAATACGCTTCAAGAGTTGGGTAGATACCAAAATTGAAATGGAATATCTAGAGTTGATGACGCTATCGATTGTACTCATATTAAAATACACCAGGTTAATAGTTTCATGAAGTTTTTAGGAATAAAAAATCTTTTTTCTTAATAAATGTACAAACTGTAGTTGGATCACAAAGAGAATTTTTTTTTAGATATTGTAGCCCGATGGGCTGGTAGTACACATGATAGTTGTACACTTAATATGTTACGAATAAATATGAGATATATGCAAAGAGAACTAGAAGATGTTTTGCTCGATGACAATGATTATCCTAGTCTTCCATATTTATATACCTCAGTATTAAATCCTCAGACTATTCCAGAAATGAGATATAATCGTGCTCATATTAAAACTCGTAATCGTGTCGAATGTATGTGTGTCTTGGAATTTGGAAAAGAAGACTTCCATGTTTAAGTCGAGACTGTGGAATAAATTGGGAACATATATGCAACATAATAGTCGCTTGTGCTGTTTTGCATATTGCTTTACTTAAAGATGTCTTGCCATTGAATAAGACTATCTCTAGAACTTCCTATATACCAGTCGATCCTGTATAACCACGACTAGGAAAAGGTATCGCAGTTCGACAAGCTTTAATTTTAAAAAGCTCATTTTACATAATGTATCATAATCTTAAATATTTTATTTGTAATAGTTAAATTTATAAAAAAGAACAATAAAAATAATAATTCTAAAATAAGACCTATATAATTCTATAATATATTAATGTATTAAGAATTTAATTTCTGTTTTTGGAAATATTCTAGTTCCAATTTAGCTAAATCTACTCGTATCTTTGTTTCTCTATATTTTTCTCTTTCGGTTTTTAATTTTTTCTTCGTATAATAATAATTCCATTTTTCCAGTCTATTGTCTGTAATTCTCTCCTTCTAAATTCAGCTTCCTTTTATATAAGTTTTTTTTTTAAATTTTCATACATTTTTTTGTCTTGATAATTCTTTTTTGAGCAGATCCATTTTTTCTGTGTTTTTAATAAGTTCGAGTTGATCTAATTATAGACAAAAAAATAAATTAACATTAATAATACAATAAGTGGAAATATAAAGTAAAATTATATAATACCATACATTTTTTCTTTGTAAAGATAAAAGTTTTCGAAAACTGAACACTTTTCTATCTGTGCAATTTTAAATGTTTCGAAAGTATTCTCTACGTTTTGATGAATAGTGTTTACGCACGCACGCACATCATACATACATATACATATATTCTTATGTTTGTAAACACTGTCAGAATCAGTGATGAAATTTCATATATTAAATGAGGATACTTTCGATTATGGGATCTATTTGAGCAATAATACAATGGAATCATGAATTGACGAAAAATAAGATTAGGAAAGTCACAAATAGTGACAAAGGTTTCCTAAAGCGATATCCCTTAATTTCTCAAAAATAAAAACCTTTGAACTTTATTAATACTAATAAAAACATGATCAGTGATATGTTGGTATCGATGGTTTTCCATTGCATAATTTTATTTTAAATTCTTATTACCTTTTCATTAATGTGAGTGCTAGCATTGAAAGTCGCTATTTTTTTTCCATGCTTCTTGTTTGATTTTTATATCATCTGTTTTTTGTTTTATACTATATTTTTGTAGTCTAATATACACTCTAATAAAAATTTTTTTTCGAATAAGGTAAAATTTTTCTTTTTTTGGTGTACACGTACTAGTTTGTTCCTGCGTTTTTAATGTAGTGCACGAGTTACTTTATGTCAATAATTCGACTTTGAAAAAGATTATTTTCAAACAAAAGCAAAACGCAGCTTTAATCGATATCTTGAATCTCAAGTTAGATTTCACACGTAATCGTTCCTTTTCTTAGATGAATACAGTTTCAATTGATTTCTAATCAGGACGTGACTATTGAATCGTCTGTGTCTCAGATTCTATTCTGAGTATCTCATCTGATACGATTTTGAGATGAGATTTAAGAACCGACTATAAATACGGACCTATATAAATGTAGCAAAGTCATAGTAGGAAAAACAAAGACGACAAAAACTAGCTTGAGAGAAGAGAGAGAGAAAGAGAGAAAGACTAATACTAATACTAATACTAATATTAGATATTGAGACAAATACTAGATTGAGAAAACGTATTAAAACCATTAAAGATTTGGTAGATCATCTGAAGATTATATCAGACGATGCTACTAATCATTTAATGGTACATTTTGACAAAATTGTATATAATAATGAATCAACATGAACTGATATACAATCCAGAAATTAGTAATAATGCGGTAGGCTTAAGATTGATTTTGAATTGTATGTACATTAATTAATACGGTAGGTTTAAGGTTAATTTTGAATTGTACATTAAATAAATAAAATATATACTTTGTTTTTTTTAGACGCAATTGCAACCAATGTGAAAAATTTTAAAACGTAAGAAAGCCGAAAAAATGAAATATTCACCCGAATTAAGAGCATTTGCACTTACGTTAAATTTTATTTGTCGAAAGCTTACAACTACGTAAGAGTTTTTGTGATCTTTTACCTGAATTCTCTACTATTCGAAAATAGTATTCAGTATTGAATGCACGTCCCGGATTTATCGCTGAAGCATTTGAAGCTCTAAAGTGTCAGGTTAAAACAAATAACAATCCGATTCTGTGTAATCTCGTAATAGACGAAATAGAGATTCGACAACAGGTAACGTATGATGGACAGAGATACTATGGATTCATTGATTTAGGAGTTGATTATACTTCTCATGATGTCTTTAATGATGTGGATTATTTACTTTATGCAACAAATGCCTTAATTTTCATGCTCGTCGCGATCATTGGAAAATTCCTGTAGGATATTTTTTGTTGAAGTCGTTAAATGCAGCTAAAAGAGCTTAATTTATTAGAAAAATGCTTCGAGTTAATAGAAATGACAGAAGTAAAAGTATATTTTGTAACTTTTGATGGAACTAGCATCAATATCAATATGTGCAAATATTTAGGAGCAAATTTCAAATTAGGCTCTGCTTTTAAACCATATTTCATCAATTCCATAACAAAAGAAAAAGTTTTGTTTCTTTGATTCATGTCACATGTTAAAATTAGTACGAAATACTTTGGGTGATTATAAAATTTTGAAAAGTAAAGATGGAGATATTCATTGACAAGATATTGTGCTTCTATAAAAGCTACAAGAAGAAGGGTTGCGCGCTGATATAAAATTGACTAAAAAACATATTTTATACCAAAACAACAGAATGAATGTAAAACTAGCTGCTCAAACTCTGAGTGAAAGTATTAGTTCTGCACTCAAATATGTACACGAAACTGGTTTTAAGCAGTTTTTTTTCTCGAAAACACGGTTAAATGATGTTCAATAATGTTTTTGATACTTTGAACGTGTGCAGTCAGCTTGCAGAGAGAATTTAAGACACATAAAAACTATAATGAGTTAAAAGCTCATGCTGATAACATTATACAATACATTAGCGATTTAAAAACTGTACGAGATTTATCGATTCTAAAAAGTCCTAGAAAAGTTGGCTTTCTAGAATTCATTATCTATTTAAAAAATATATTTGAGTTATGGGATGTTTTGAAATAATTAAAATTGAATTATTTATTATCATTTAAGCTCAATCAAGATCATTTGGAGACATATTTTAGCACCATAAGAAGTCGGGGAGGATTCAATGACAATCCTAACGCTCAAGAATTTGAAGCAGCATATAAAAGGTTGATGGTTAGGCATAAAATTAATGCATCGGCAATTGCTTAATTAATTAACGATATTCATATATTGCATGTATCTTCAACAAAAAAATACTGTGATCCAATGTATACTGAATTGTATGATTCTACTGATATATTTGATCATGATTATGTAGATCCACGTATGGTCTCTCAGTCCATATGTGGAAGATGTTGTGATGTAATATCAGTGGCTTGGTGATAAAACAATTAATCCGAAAAATAATCCGATAAAAAGATATGTGAGACGTGTCTCTTTCTTAATATGAATAATACTTCAAATTAAATTATATTAAAAAACAGAGGGAAATTAACGATTCCTTCGGAAGATGTAAAAGTTACAAACGCGTGCAAAAATTATAAGACAGAATAATCATCTTATTTTTGTTAAAAAAAATATTAAAGATTTTTTAGCGTTAAAAATTGTTAATACTTGTGATTGATTATGTTTTATGCACGATGCTATGTTTGAATATATAAAAAACTAAAAAATTTTCGATAATTATAGAATATAGCTGATAAAATGAATCATTGAAGTCTATGTTAAAATATGCCTATATCACGAAGCAAAATTCTCAAATGTCATAAAAACAAAAAAAAACGCCACAAATATTCAAAAATGATACATTTTTATCATCAGTTATTTAAGTATTTATGAGTATTTTTAACTTCAATTTTAATTTCTTTTTAATTATTTATTTTGAGTATTTTCTAAAAGTTTTTAATTACTATCATACTCTCGTATGACGTACAATTGACATAATTATACTTTTTATAATTATGTACTCTTTATAATTTGAGCATTATATATATAATTCATCATATTCTGTATAATTCAACATACATACAGTAACTGACAAAAAAAAGAGACCACTGTAATATAAGTTTTTCAAAAAATTGTCAAAAAATGAAGAAAACTTAAAATAATTTAGCTCAGATAGTTTGTTATTAACAATATTTTAATATTTGTAACAGATTTTTCTTTATCTTGTTTAAATTAATTTATATTTAATTTTTTTGAAAAATGATTCACTTAATACTAGGACAAAAAAAAGGACCATATTTATTTTTTATAAATAAAATTTGAAGAAAATTGGAAAAAGCAAAAAAAATACATTTTAATATTTAGTATGACTTCCTTTTGCTTTGATTACTGCCTGAAGTCGTCTTGGCATACTTTCTACGAGGCTTTGAATGTATTTTTCATCCACCTCCTCCCAGGTTTTTTGAAGTGCTGTGAAATAATTTTCCTTATTAATCACTCTGGTTTTATCAATCTTCTTATCCAAAACGGATCTTCTTATCCATAGATTTTCTATGGGATTGAGGTGATTGTGGAGGCCAATCAAGAAGTTTAATTCTGTTAGATTTCATGAATGCTTGACTTCTTTTTGCCGTATGCTTCGGGTCATTGTCTTGTTGAAAGATAAAATTATTTTCCAATCCAACGCGAAGCAATGATATCTTCAGATTTTCACGAAGAATATCGATGTATCTGTGGTCATAATGCCATCGATTTTTACCAAATTTCCTATTTCTGACCAATTAAAGCAACCCCAGACCATAATGCTGCCTCCTCCGTGCTTTATAGTTTGCTGCAAATGACGCTATTGATATTCTTCTCCAGTCTTTCTCCATACTCTGAGCCTTGTTTTTCGGTTGAATAATTCGAACTTACTTTCATCGGATCACAGAACTTTCTTCCAGAAGTTGATTGGCATTTCTACATATTTTTTCACGAACTCTAGATCGCTTTATTTTATTTCGTTTGCTAATAAAAGACCGTTTTTTTGCAAATCGGCCGTGTAAGTTTGCTTCGCGAAGCCTCCATCAGATTGTTTTATGAGATACGTCTAATTGAAGGTTTTCTTGAATAGCTCGTACCGTTAAATATGGATTCTTCTTAATTTCTCGTATAATACGAGAATCATCTCGATACGTGGTCGCCCGATTTCTTCCTCTTCCTGCAATGTCCCCAACTGAACCGGTCACTTGAAACTTTTTCCACAACTTTTGCACTTGAGTCTTGCTAACACAAAATTTTACAGCTACTGTTCTCTGTGAAATACCTTCCTGGATGTCTTTTATAATTAATTTTCGGATTTGTATAGAAGTGTTTTCCAGCCATTTTCGCAAAGCAATTGTTGATTATCGTGTCTAGCAGTAGTTAAAACAGATACGTTATAACATCAAAGGACAAACAAAACAAGCAAAACAAACTCGTTTCGCTCTCCGAGCGCAGCCTATAAAATATCCTTAATTAAAACAGTGGTCCCTTTTTTTTGTCTTAGTATTAAGTGAATCATTAAAAAAAAAAATTAAATATGAATTAATTTGAACAAGATAAAGAAAAATCTGTTATAAATATTAAATTTTGTTAATAAAAACTTATAATATTACAGTGGTCTCTTTTTTTGTCAATCACTGTATATTCTTATATCTTATCAAGTTATTTTTTCTTTTCATTAATATAACATTAATCCTTTAATATACAATTTGCAATTTTATGTTATGTTTTATAAAGTAAATTAAAGTAAGTAATAAAGTAAGTAGATATAAAGCAAGTGAAGTAAGTTAAAGAGAGAATTCGCGCGGTGATTAAAACGCCACGCCTCACTTGGCACATGCGCAGAAAAAAGAAAAGTTACTGAGTAGGACAGAAATACATCTTCTGTCTCTCAATCTTGCTCACACTTTCCAGTCATTGGTTAGATAGGCTATTCCTCTTCCATATAGTTCTGTGCTTCTAGCAGATTCTCAGCAGGTTCGAACAGAAAATGACGGCAGTCTGCCATCAATTGCGCCCGCATTAGGCTTGTATTCTGTTAATATCACCTGTCGATATAATGTGAAGGCAAATTGTTGGAAGGAACTGAGTAGATTCTGCCGATTCTGTTACGTTTTTTCTAATAGTCAATAATATTATGTACATCTAATTCTGTAACAATTCTGTTGTTGTCTTATATATATATATATAGTGAACAATTTTTCCTACGTAAAATTAAACAAAAAATAAGAAATATAAGAATTTAATTAATATTTGCAAAGAATGTTTTTGTTACAACTTACAGAATTTCGTAAATAAAAAGTAAAAAATTACTTTATACTTCAATAAATTTTCTTTTTCACCTTCATCATTATTAATGTTATAAAAAAAGATCAACGTAAAATATTATGTGATAAATAAGTAGTGAATATAAAATTTCCGCAAGAATTAGGAATGAGTTTTTTAAATTTTTTTTTAATGAGTCCTCAAAATATTAATTCAAGTTTAAAACTTCGTTCTTATATCTATTTTATATTCGGATAAAAATTATCATATTCATACAATGAATAGTGTGAAGACGAGAAATCTTTCTTTGTTTCTTGAAAATTTTACTTTTTGAATTTGTTTAGTTTTTGTGAAACTCTTTATTTTATATTCGTGAACGAAAAAAATCATAGATCTTATATACATGGATACGTCTTTCCCATTATATATATAGAAAGAGACAGTAAATGCGTTGTATCTTCTATCCTTCTTTACACTAAATGTACGACACGTCGATGCTCGAAGTGACATACGAGAAATAATCAATAGTTTTACAAATATATCATGCAGTGACATTTTAATCAATTTGTTATAATTGACTAAATTTTGCAAACATAATAAGACGATGTGCGCTATGTGATGTATTGAAGGAAAAATGACAATATTTCCTTTCATTCGTAAATATTTAATGAACGATTATGACTTATAATGTAATAAAACTAATCGAAGTTTATTGCATGTTTATGCATATCTGTAAATTTATATTTTTCTCATAATGCATTATAAATTGCTTTTTTATATTTTCTCTTACTTTTTTTTTACGCGAAAGATATCTTTTCAGTTCCATTTAACTCTCAATTTCTTTAATAAAATGTGAATCTTTCTAATTATCCATTCGTTTAATAGCTGTAAAGGCTGATGTCGATTTTATATATATATAATCGATTATTTACATGTTTTATCTAACATTATGATTGCGCTTGCGCAGTCTTATTCTCAGAAGGATAGAAGAAATTATAGGCCAGAATCCAGTCCGTTCTTAATCTCAAGACAATCTTAAGCAATGTCTTAAGATGCTAATACTCTGATATGTTCTCTGATTGGTTCATGACATCTCAAGCACAACTTAAGACCATCTGGAATCTTGAACAACGTTTGTGGATTCCGTTCTATACTTTCTCACTCTATCAACTCGGTCCTCTGATTATAATTGCAAGGAATATCCATGTAAAAGATCTATGGAAAAAATTCACCGTATACTTGTTAATTTGCTTAATTTTTTTATGTAATCAAAATACGAATGGGCCTTTAGGAATTGGCGCTGTAATAATTGCGCGTTTATTTCGATTGATCTAAAACAATTCTCTATAAATAATATATTTGTCGAACATTAATCTAAGACTACTACAAACCTGAGATGATCATATCTCCCTTCACCGCAATTTCATCCAATCTACTGTCTCCGTGAGTGACTCCGTATTCCATGATCTTACACAATGCGATTGTCGCTACTTTGCGATCATATCTACCGAGGAATAAGTGCTGCCTACTGACCCACTCAGACAGTACAAACGCAAGTGCACTCTGTCCCGTTGGCCCAGGCACAGTTGACAGAAAATTTAGCACAGCGTTAAACTGCGTATTTATAAGATACGCATAAATCATTAGCAGACTTTGCATCACGATCAATGTCTCTGCGCTCTGCATCTTGCTCAGCACCGCTTTCAACAGCAAGTCGAGATTCTCACCCAGACTGTCCCCTACATTTCGAATCAGTGTTGTGACCAAACGCCCGACAAAAGTGGCAGTGAATTCGCTCGACTGAAATTATTCCACGTACACATACATGTATGTAACTAGTTCTTAACAAGAGTACTTAATTTTCCGAAATTAAATAAGCTGGCGGATAAGACGGCAATGTCACCTGCGGATTTAAGAGCTGAGCGATTATCTG